CTGGGGCCTCTACACACGCCTGTCTCATAAATTGTGTGAAGTTAACAAAAGGGCAGTTGCATTGTGCTGCAGCTGTTGGTTGCCCACTGCCTCCATTCCATTTCCATTATGCTAAAAGAGTGTGCGTGCGCGCACGCGCGCGCACGCACGCACACACACACACATATATCACACTGATGTTGGATTTCCTACCAGTGCTCAAGGAAGCATAAACCTCACTCTAGATTACATTTTTCCTCCAATAAGGTTTTTCCGTGCTTTTTCCCTCAGAAGTAAACTGAGTGAAAAGATAACGGCAATATGTCCACTAGATAAAAAGACCCTCCCTGAATCTCACTCTGATGTTGGATTTACTCATCCAAATTGAAGGAAACCAAACCCGAAACCTAACCTTAGGTTACATTTTTCTTCCAATTAGGTTTTCTCATTCATTTTCCCTTAGAGATAAAGTAAGCAATAAACATAAAAGTAAGATGTCCAATAATAGGGACGCAGTGGCTCAGTGGCTAAGAAGTTAAGCTTGTTGGAATGGTTGGCAGTTCGGCACTTCGAATCCCTAGCGCCGTGTAACAGAGTAAGCTCCCGTTACTTGTCCCAGCTTCTGCCAACCTAGCAGTTTGAAAACACATAAAAAATGCCAGTAGAAAAATAGGGACCACAGTTGGTGGGAAGGTAACAGCATTCCATGTGCCTTTGCCGTTTAGTCATGCCAGCCACATGACCATGGAGACTTTCGGACAGTGCTGGCTCTTCGGCTTTGAAATGGAGATAAGAATCTCCCCCTAGAGTTGGGAATGACTAGCACATATGTGCGAGGGGAACCTTTACCTTTAAGATGTCCAATACACCAAATGGGGCATAGGATAACTCATCACGACCAACTTGCTGCAGGACAACTCACCACGACCAACTCACTGTGGCACAAGTCGCCACAGGACAATTCAACGCTGTATTCATCATTTCATTCAGTTACTTTTATTTTTGGTGACCATGTTTTCATCCA